ATATTAAGGTACGTAATTTGTAACGTACCTTAATCTAAATTCAAATGTACAACCGTTAAATGCTCATTTGCAACTGAAGATGACATGAGAATGTCGAAACATGTCTTGTAAATTTAAACTCAAAGTTGTTGTTTCTTTTTTGAGATATATATATATTTATTAAAAACTGGATCATTGGATAATGCAATTCAAGACTTTATATTGGCTTAGCCATTATGGTATATGAGCCAGTATACCATAATCTACAAATATGGTAAGCGTACGCGTCAGCTTAAAATTAAAAGGGAGCTAAAAAATGTAGTAAAATTTAATATTGAATTTAATGTTTTTAATAAAACAATTATTCCACTCGCACTTGTTGGATATGAGATGATTATAGCCAACTCGGGGCTACGCGCCTCGTTGGCTATCTATCATATCCAACGCGCGCTCGTTGAATAATTAACAACTATTCACCGAAGTGGAGGTGGTTAGTGGCGGATATAGTATTTACTCTTTTAGTATATACTCTTTTAGTATATACTCTTTAGTATATACTAAAACTGTGAGATAACATACACCACCGTCGTTAATTTGAGTGATTTCTTCGCTTGTCACGGATGCAAACCGGGACGCCATTTTTTCTCGAGTTGCTCGGAGGTAAATAGCAAAGGATATTCGGAGTTTGACTAGCCAATCAGAGCGCGCCTTCAACGCTATCCACTGTTTTAGTATATACTAATTGTTAAATATACTCAAGTAGTGACCAGAACCTGATTCTCTAATGCAGACCTGCTTCTCTAAAGTAACGTTTTAAACACGAATACAAGCGGTTGTTACGTGCAAGAGAAGTAACAACTCAAAAGATTAGTGCCGCTTACTTGAAAGTTGAGTAGTCTTCAACCATTGGATACTGCTCGGAGAGTGCTCGAAATCCGCTCAACAAGACGTCTCCAAAACCACTAAAGCAAAATTGAAATTGGTATGTTAAGTTTTTGCACTTCGCATGAGTTATATCCACTGTCCAAGTTACTGCATTCAGTAAATCACTTTTGCAAAAGGGCAAGAATAGTTTGATTCAATAAAAATCTAGCCAGTAAAAAGAAGATCAAACCCGAAACAAATTCCAGAGGAAATTCTCGAATAATTTACTGACTTAGAGGAACCAAAGTCTTTCCTTTTTTTTTACAAGACAACTTTATAGTTTTGTTGAGGAGATAAATTATACCCAACAGAGACACACCGAAGTTCTTGGTTTTCACTGGATCTGGAGTAGCAGAGTGATAAAGACAAAGCACCACAGAAAGAGAACACGATCACAATAAAAACCGCCATGGATCTTGTGACGTCATGTAGTATGATCTTGGCCAAGGTTTGTGTGTATAATCCTGTAGTCCTGAGAAAGATAAAAGGTTGAGCTTAGGTTGATGAAGGGATGAGTTTTAAGTGGTCAGCGCTCTTTCCGAACTAAAGTAATTAATTAGGAGTTGTAGGTCACCTTGACACACATGAAAACTTAAAGATCCTCATGAAGTTGAACAAGAAGGCCAAAGATGTCACCATCCACTGAGCTTTATGATCCATGTATCGTAATGGTATTATACACAGGATCAACAGCAGGCCTAACCAGTCAAACAGGGCCATCCACTCTGTGAAATAAGAATGCCCCTCTCTGCAAGAAATCAAACAAACAATCTCCATGACTTCTCTCATTTTCTTAAGTTTTTGAGGTGTATTTTTTCTTCAAATGTGAGGTCTCTAATCAAAATAGGGGGTCAAATAGGAAATCTTGATGAAATTTCCACAGTAACCCTTGATCACCATAGTTACTCACATTCTTATCTGATTTATTTCCACACAGATGTAGAAAACAACCATAAGTAGGGTAAAAACCTCACAGAATCCACGCAGTGAGTCCATTGCACCACTGTACTGGGTGGGGTCCCATCTGGTAGAGGCATGGAGCACAGAATATGACATGAACAGCAAGAAGATGCAGAACAATGCTGCTTGAAGGCTATAGAAAAGGAAAAGTAATTAAATTAATTACCTCTGCAGGAGCAAAATGAATAAAGGGCAAGGGATTGGAGATGTAAATAGTGACATAAAACATTAAGTTTTTGGTAACAGTGTCTCATACTTCTGTTATCAACCTTTGAGAAATTAAAGGCTTTAAAATTTGCACAGTATCATACATTTACACTGTCCATGAAAAACAATAAAAAGCCTGCAGAGCAGGCATAGTTTGGGCAAGCCAGTGATCAGTATTTTCTTAGCAAAATGGCTGCTATCTTCTATTTTAATGGCAGTGGAAGGCTGGGGAGAGAAAGAGATCTGTACTAAGGGGGTGAGTGACAATCAAAAGTAAGGAGAGGGGCTGGGGTGGGGGAGTGCCTATTCCCACTCCCCTCCCCCTACTGTCAAGTCTGACACCAAATTAAACATGGCCAGTTAAGGTGGCCAAACACAGTTTAAGCACGTGCTTTTGCTGATTCAATTAAGTGCACGCATGAGGATTGCAAAAAAAAAAACATTCCGTCAATAGAGCAGGCATTTTATTTACTCAACATGTACCCGCACTATCTGTGCTATTTTTCTCTATAGTTGACGCAGCGTATTGATCTTTTCATTACAAAGATATATTAGAAAATGCAGTGGTGCAAAGAACCCAGCAATTCTCAGCTTTTTCATTGTTACCGAAAGAACCCAGTTAAATGCAGTGTAAAAAAATTGCGATTGAATGGAAAATTGCTTTCTTGGAAATATGCCTTTTTCTTGAGTACCACTCATAATTAGTTTCATGAAATTTGGCGGAAGAATTCTTTAGGAAATAAGTAACTGGAATATTAATTGAAAAAAATTGAACTTTAACAAAGGAAATTCTAGATATTCCAGTGAACCCTCAACAAGGGATGATTAAAGATCTATCTGTTAAATTATTAGCAAAATGGTGTCAACTTGTGAGTATCATTACGAGCTCATTGCATGCAAATTATAAAGAAAATCTAACGACTAGATTTTCTACAAATAAACAAAACCGATTTTAAAGGCCAATTTATATTTATTCATGTTGCCATAGCAATGACACATACGTCAGCTTAACCATCAAAATATCAAAGTTTGTGTTGTTAACTTGCTTGCAGCCATTTTTGGTGACCAAGGGATCAAGGGTTTTAGAGAAAAAGGTGAATGAAACACAGGTATCAAAAACTGTGTTCAGTCACCTTAAATAAACAATTGCATGCTTTCACATCAACTCACCCTGATAAGATGCCTGCACTGCAGGCTTAACTAGAACTACACTGAATCATACTGCAGAGAAGTGCTTTCACGCACTTATCATGTGTGCAGTAGCATAAATAAACTCAATAAAAATTGTCTTTCATTTTGTTACCTGTACTTAGAGTTACATCAATACATAATTCAACATCTATACGAATAAATTCTCAAATTTACAGTTAGAAGCCTGCAAACACAACTGATTTACCTGAGGAAAAAGTGTCCATAACTTCTCCATTTTGTTTTAATCAACATTCTGACAACTGGATGCTGCAAAGCCTCCTACAAATGACAATCAGTAACTAATTTCTGACCAAAATAATTTTGATGTAAGATTGATCTAAGATTCGAATTCCTGTTATAGTAGGTAATTGATATAATTATATATATATCTATACATTTCTACTTTTTCTGAATATCTTTCGATAATAGTGCCTTTACATACTTTACCATGGAATAGTCCATTTTATAGTTGTGTGCTTGGTTGCCAAGCCTTCAAATGGGAGTGAGGCTAGGGTTGACCTTGTTATGATACAAACCTTGCTCTCTTTCAAATGTAAATCACTTTGTTATCATGCTAAGTAGATACAGGTCTCTATCACAACAAGGTCATCTTTAGCCTCACTCTGAATCAAAGGCTTGGCAACTAAGTACACAACTGTAAAATGGCCTATTGTCTAGTTGATTGTCTCTAGATTAATTTTACCTTGTTGTTACTCTTTGCAATTGCATGTAAGCAAGAATCCTCTCTCCAGTTAAAATATTTGTTATCTAACTGCATCTGTCCATCTGATGGCAAAATCTTTGGGGGTCGTCCTTCTTCATCTCCATCCAAAATATGATAGCAAAAATGATAGTTCAATGGATCATCTGACATTGTTTTCCATAGTCCTTCAATAGCCTCCCTCTCTTCTTCTGTTTCATAGCTTTCTTGTCGATTTGGAAGATATGGCCAATGGGGGTTTACCATCTGGTCCAGGACTGCCACTACTGTTTTCTGTAGACAACACAAATCATTACATGAGTTCAGCTGTCAAAATCATATCTAATACAACTGTCTAACAAGTTAAAAAAAAAAGTAGCTCTGGTTAAAAAAAGCATTTAAAAATGTTACTTACATGACATCTATTATTGGCTTGTGACCCATCAAGTTATGTATCACATGGAAAAGAGTTGTCTACTCAGAGCCTCTGGTCTCTTTGACAATTTTTTAAAAATAAGACAAACCTCACCTTCATTTTAGGATTCCCAATGATTGATTTGAGGCTGAAGAAGGATGGTTCAGGATTTAACATATTGTCTGGTGTCCAGGAAAATAAACTGTGCACTCTAAATAAAAATAATGGTGGGAATGCATCATCATTTCAAAGGTAAGTTTATCTAGGGTCTAATGTCCATATTGTTCATATATTACTCCTGCCTCTTCATTTCAAAAAGGATCTGTAACATCTTATTAACTGTAACCTACATTTAAGCATTTTCACTCATGAAATATGATTTCATGTCTTTAACATCATATTTTACCAGTGTCTTAAATTAACTTTTAGGAAATTCATTTCTGTTGGTTTAAATAATACCTTTCATGCTCCATAACTCTAATCAAAAATGCTGCCACATCATCATTCTCTGCTGCTATTGCCAATTCCACCGGTAACATGGCTCTTTTCTCCACAGGTGTTATTTTGTCTTTCGTCGTCATGGTAAGCAGCAAAGGGCATTTCCTCGCAAGTGTTTTGGTGACACGTAGAAAGCCAAGTTCGGCTGCATAGTGCATAAGTGATTTTTTTGTTTCGTCATCTTCATCTCGGAACTCCTCGTATCTGTTCTCAGTGTTTAGTCCACTTTCTAAAAGAATCTCCAACCACCGATTTATCTATAAATCATTACACTATTAAATATGATATACTTTCACTAAATTATCCAACTAATTGGGCCAAATACATAACATGAATTAAAAACCTCTATCCTTACAATAAAGCTTACTCTAGCTTACAGTCAAATAAATGAACTTACCAGTTGCTCAAGTCCACGATTTTTATCGGGATCATTTCTATTCTGTTTAGATGCTGGCCACTGTTTCAACATCACCAAAGCTGGGTCTACACTATCTATTTCTCCACTGTTTTGGTATTTTTTGATCAGTCCCTCAACACGAACTTCATCCATAGCTCTGTTCCATGACAACCCTTTGTTCTGCTTTTGATGAACCTTGATCATCAAATAATTCGTGTTCAATCAAGGACTACACTGCAACTTTACAACTTCTCAGTAAATTTACAGTACTCGTTATGTAACAGCATTTCAATTTTAATTTTTGTTACCCTAATCCAGAACTCCTCGTCGAATACCATCTCATCTTTTGGCAAAGCTTGCTGCTGATCACGACAGCGATCACTTTCAAGCTGATTTCCATCTTCATTATTTTTTTCAGCACGCCCCAACCCTTGTTCTTCTTTCCTCATCACTGACTCGTTTAACGCCAGCCACATTTACGCTATATGTGCTAGATGTATGTTCCATACATTTTTTTTAAAGTAAGCTTTCCCAAATACTTTCCCTCTTAAATCGGCCAGTACTACCCGCTACCCGAAAGAGCTGATTGCTGTATGCGCATGTGCTTCGTTTTTCC